GGATGAGGAAGCGAGAATCAGGTATGTTTGGTGGTTGGTATTGCACGCGGCAAGTTTCTAGGGTTGTCTGTCAAGTAAAGTAATCACCATTTCCATATTCGGCGTTCGGGGTTACAGGCCGAATCGGAGACAGCATGAAAAAGGACGCCGAGTCATTCCGAGTCCGGTTTTCCCGCTTCTTCCTGGCTGGCTCAGCTTTCGATTCGTTTCGGACACAAGGCAGCAGCAATATTTGTCAGTAGTACCTACTGTAGGTACATACGTGTGCTGAGTTGCTGAGTTGCTGACTGGACGTGGGGAGGGGATTGGCTGACATGCGAGGAGCTTCCATTCGTGCTCGGCTGTAACCCACCACCTACCATGTTCGTCACCACCCTTGTCTCCGTCCCCCAACCTATGTATGTACTCATCTTAAGTCCGTGTCCCCATGGAAGAGCTAGAGGTACATACCGGTGATACGGGGCATTGAGGTTCTCAACGATGTTTGACTCCTCGGTTTCGTCGTGTGCGTGACGACAGAAAGATAGAGGAATGAAAGGATTATAGTGATTTTTTTTCAGTGGACAGTTCAGCCCCTCGCCCGATCTGCGTATAGGACCCCAACACATAGTGATATCGTCATGTATCACTTGTCAAGTCTTCTTGTCATGTTGATATTGAACATGATGACACTTGTGGCATCCCACACTCCGCAAACCCCGTGCCTCCCACAATCCCACTCCCACATCCGTTCGGTACTTGCGAAGAAACACGTCAACGCCTTTTTCAAATTTACTGGCAGTTGCGGTGGCAGTTGCACAGCCCCGAGAGTTTTGTCAGCGGCAACATTGAAGTTTGGTTGGACAGCATGGCAGCATCTCTCCTCCGACTGACCAGACCAACGGAACCTTTCAGCGATTGCGCGGGATGCGATTTGGCGATTTATCGGGCTGGTAGCGACTGCGACTTTGATACGACGACCAGCGGATGACGCATCGGCAAAGCCCTTTTTTGGGTTTTGAGGGGTCCATGTACCTTGCTTGATCCAAGGGCGTGTCGTTACGCCAGGCTCACTCACAGGTTAACGTTGCGTGCAGTTGACCACCTCAAGAGGACTTGGATAAACTTCAGGCTCTTGGCTTCCATCCTAGGCTTCTTTCTCTTGGTTGTTGTACAACGAACATCGGACCCGTAGCGACACTATCGTCAAGCTTACGGGTACAGCCCAGCCTTCAAAGCGGTCAACCTACCCATTGAAGGCATCGTGTTCTGTACTAAGATATTGACTTGTTGTTGCCCTGCTAAGCCACAGTTGCCCGTATCGCCCGGCTTTGAGCGAGTCTTGGCTGATAAGGCTGTTACAGTCTGAGGCCGGCAGGACCGTTGTTACCTAAGGATCAGTTCCGTTGATGGGAAAAGGACGTTGAAGCGAGATGATCTCCATTGGCGACTTCCTCCGCATTTGAGAGTGGGTGAGGGACGGGTGGATTGAAGAGATTCATTCCGATCCTTTCGTCTCGACTTTATCGCTCTTTCCTTCCTCAGCCCTATGAGTGGGGTCAAAGTAAATCGGCCAATGACAGAGCTCGTAGTGATCTCTCAGGCTCCGATTTGGCCCGCGCTTGCAAAAAAGCTCCGCCAAATGTTCGTCAGTGCACTGGCCACCTGCTGTGCAGAAAGAGGAGCACTTTTGGTTTTGTGGGAGCTGAGGCACAAAGCGGGGAGTTGTGCAAGGCTTCGCGCCGGCGTTACGACAGGCCCAGTGCCCGCAACCCACCCACTCCCGTCGCTTCCACAGGCGCACTTGTCACGGGTTGAAAGCCGAGGCGATCCTTTTTTCGCTCCCCCACACACAACGGAATTCGGTTTCGAGGGAAAGAGAAGTGTGGAAACGAAAAAAAAAACAGATGAACGGCGGGTTTCTTTCCATGCGACTCATCGCGGTGCCCTGTTGATCACGGCAACCATCCACTCCTTCCACTGTTGCGTTCACCACTCAAACCCACGAGTCCCGCTTCAGTGAGTGACAGTCACGACTCATCCCGTCACTCCCCTCACCCCCCATGGTCAGCAAGTCAGCGTGGGTTTCGGCGTTACGATCGCGGCCCCGAACTCTAATTTCCAGGCTTGCCAGGCTTCCAGGGCAGCAGGCTTCAAGCTTTTTTTTCTTCCTACCGCCGCCGATGCTCGTCGCCCACACAATTGAACGGAACCGGCGATGCAGATGTACATACTATGTGTACAAGCCCTGTGATCGATAGATTGTGTGTGTTTCGCATGATGGCATCCTCTTGTCTTTGTGACAGTGCACCACCAACCTCATGGAAGGATTTCAAGCCTTTTTTTTTCCCTTTTTGTTAGCTTCAGGTCGTGCAGCTTCCCCGGCCTCCCGGTGCTTGCTTCTGTCTAATTGAACTTCACCGCCTGCGATGGGATACCTGCGGATAGGCGCAACGGCAACTGACATGACAACCAAGGCTTGTCCTGGCTACACCTCAGTAACAACAGTAATAACAAATTTGCTGCCAACTGAGATTTGCTGAACGGTGGCAGTGCCTAGAGTACGGACGGGAGCCGGGCATCGATCGTTACTAGGTTGAAAGAGAAAATGCGAAGCGTGTATACGAAGCTTTGAGCCAAAATATCACCTTGGGGTTCGTTGTTGGACACTTGTTGCTGGAGAATATACGCCTACTTACTATTTTCTTACATCCAAGGCGCCAAGTTGGACTTGGTCCTAGGGGTTTGATTGGGGTCTTCGGTCAGCAGACCAACAACGCAGCATGCTTGTTCTCTTTGCTGGCCGAGGTGTGTGATATCCTTCGTTGTCTGCCACGCCGGGACGGGAGTATAAACGAGGCTCGTTGCAGTGCCTCAACTTGCGACGGTTTATAAGGGCCCTTATTGTTGTTTCGTGACGTGGAGCTGTTGGTTCCTAGTGTGTCGGGTGCTTGCGACAACTTGATATGAACTTTTTTGCTTGTTGGTGTTTTAAAAGTGTTGGTGTTGTTGACTTTTGTTGGCTGCTTGCCTGGTCGGTGGCCCGGGGCCCGCCTCGAGCCCGCCCCGAGCCTACGCCTAACCTCAACATCGTCATCTTCCTTGCTTGAGGTGTGCCCGTAGTCAGGCACCGTGATGCTGCTCCGGGTCTCGCCTTGAACATCATCATTCTAAACTTTTTTTTTCTCGGTAGCCGCACAAACTAGTGTCGCAGATTTCCGTAAAAACGGGCGGAGGTAAAGGGAACCCCACAGCCTAGAATCCGAAAGTGGGAATTGGGTACCTGCAAGAAATTTTTTTCTTCAAGGTTTTTAGCATGCGGATGGAGTTGTTGAGATACCCTTGTCGATGTTGAATTAGGAAGTCGAGCAACGCACCAGCCGTGAAAGTTTGGGACTGTGTTGTTGATAAGATAACGCAGTGAGAACCCCGGCGTCGCGAAAGAAGCCGAGTTGCAAAAAAGTTACATGCGTCATGGGAATAGCTCGCAGCTTGAATCCCGTCAATGGGGAACTTTCAGCTTCAGCGGGATATAATAGCATGCGTGAATATCCAAGCCGTCAGGTATTGTTTTGCTTAAAAATCAGGATAATGCGTCAATCGGTTTGAGGATTGTGAAATTGCAGAGCGGCTTTGATGATGCCTGCGAAATGAGAACCAAGAGAGACGTCGCTGAGAAATCCCCGGAAGGCATCCGTGATAGGAAGTGTACCAAGCCAATGTACCTCTCTGATCGGGACGGTGATTACAAACCGCCTTAACTCCGTCGGTTGCATTCACCACCATCGTGACAAAGGGACGCGGGGTTTTTAGATTTGATTCTTGAAACGGAAACAAGGCCCAACCACAAGCTTGATACCAGCTCGTTTCAACAAATGTACGTGATGAAGCTTGCAATGTCGGGGGCGCGCACATGATTGACAGGAGCAGGAGCCAGACCGGTAGCGTGCCCGAGCGGTGGAGTGTGTACAAGTTTGCAGCAAAAAGTTGCGGCCAAACAAAAGACAAGGAGGAGACGGATCAAAGACCGAGGCGGCCGAGCCCCCGTCCGAACTCCAAGCAAAAATCCCTTCCAGAGTTCGGATCGTGAAATGTGCGCTTCACCGCCGCCGACGGACAAGTCTCAGGTGTCTAGGCTGGCTGTTGGAAAGGGCGGCGCCAGGGCGTGTTTAAAAGGCCGACCACCTCAAAGTGCAACGCAAAAGGGGGGTGTACATAAGCAGGTACCGGGGTACGTACCTTTTCCCAGGTACGTACACTTTTCTCCAAAAGTCGGATTGACGGCTTCTCAGTTTTTGTCAGCTGCTGCTGCGGATGGACGCATCACCCTTGTGCTGATGACCTTGCGGTGTCTGGAGTGTCTCGAACCTGAGAACCGAAAGCACCCCAAAGAAGGGTCAGACTGAAGGTTTACAAAAAGGAAGCTCATCCCCATGAGGCATCGTCAGGCTTCGCTTTTGGCTCCTCTCTTTTGCTATCACCAATATCTTTTTGTGACTCCGACTCGGATACATTATTACATACGCCATTCTAGTGTGAAACTTTTGATCACCAAGTGACCTTCGAAAGCCGGCACAAAGCCACGCAAGATTCCACTTTCGCAATCACGGATTCCACTTTCAGGCTCCGTCCTCACAGTACCCGTCTTTTCACGATCCACTCATACGCTGGACGAGACTCGTCGCGACTGCTGTCGTCTTGTGGGAAGTGCATGGTTCTTGCAGACCCTGATAGCAGTACCCGACGCCAGCGACAGCGAACAACAACGGACTTGCTGTATCAAGACACACCCCCCACCCCCGGTCCTGGTCCGCCTGCCTGAACGCCCACGCCCACCCGCACGCCTTTTGCACGCCCTTACACGCCCTTACACGCCCTTACCTGGCGGGCCCGCAATCGGCTTGATCCCTGTCTTGAGTCACTCGAACCAAGAACCGAGAACGCGAAAACGCACCAAGCCAAATATTATTAGAGAAAAAGCTCCCCCCGATTCCTGCCCTCCAAGGAAAGAAAAAAGAACCATGTCTTCCACCACAACACTCACCGCAACCAAAACACCACCACCATCGAGGCCACAACTATTAGGCACTCTCTCTACTACCAGTGCATCGACATATCCTACCACAACTATTTCCACTTCATTCATCAAGCCCAAGAAGATGTCCATCACACAAACATACTACCTTGCCCACAAGGCAAGGGCAAAGCTTTCTTCGGAAGCTGCCCGCCCCGATCACAACCTCCGCCTCTTGGTCGGACACGCCAACCTCCTCGACTCGTTGATGGTCGAGCTCGCCGATGCCGAGAGGGAACAAGAATCCTGGTTCAACCAATCCGTCCGCGGTGCCTCTAGCAACCGCAGCGAAGAGCGTCACATCCAATGGGCCGACACAGTGGTCGAGGAGCCCGAGCACGACTGGCAAGCCGAGGACGCCGAATACAGCGACTCGGATTCCGATTCGGACAGCGACCTGAGCGAGGACGACGAGGAGGACCGTGACGAGGACGAGGACATCGAGATGGCCGATGCTGTCCCCCTCAGGAGGATACCCTCGCACAGCAGTGGCAGCCTTCACCGGTACTCCATGCAAGCGCCGCTGCACCAATACTACAACTACAGCGACGACGAGGACATGGAGGAGGACGACGAGGAAGAAGACTACACCCATCTCGCCCTGCAGAGGAGCCCTTCGCACTCTACATCGCCACCAGAGCTCGACCTCGACTCGGACTCTTCAGAAGACGAGCACATGCCACCCTCGCCGCCCACCACCATCCTATCCACATTCACATCGACGTCGTCCGAGAAGCAGACAGAGCAAACAGACGACGAGGAAGATCAACAAGAACAAGACAAGGACGCCTTTTACGCCCACAACCAAGGCTACTACCTACCAAGTCGTGGTCCCACACTGGTGTCGACGATAGGAGTGTACTAAACACTTCACCACCACCACCACACACATTTCACACTTTCTTGTTGTTCTACATGATTATTCCTCATTATCTTGCATAGCACTCTTCTGCATTGGGCAACGGCGTTTTTAACAAATTTTTTTTTTTTTTTTACGATGATACCACATTTTCATTTGGCATGCATCGGGGCAATTGGGATCGGGAAGATTGAATTGGAATTGGAATTGGATTGGGATTATCGGGTTTCATCATCATCATCATCAAGCGACAGCGTTTTTTCACATCATCATCATTATCATCAGAACTTGTTTCTCACACTCGACATCACTACTCAATAATGGATCTTGTGTTTTTCATCATCATGGTGGCGGAATTCGGGAATATGGAGTCGGAGGGGCAAACGCAACGAAGCAATTGAAAAAAGTTATAGGGCAAATTGGCAATTGGAAGCTTTGGGCATTTGTTCACTTATGGAGAACTTTGTATTGCTATCACGCGCAATTGTTGTACGACCGGTACCCGCTCCCATCATCACGGCCAGTGGTGTTTTGGTTGAGTGGGGAATTTTAAGGGTCTTTCTTGGGGATTATGGGGAAGCATGATCTCATAGCTTGGGTACCTTACATACTTCGCAGCTCTACCTACTGCAAATCCGACTGTGTTTCGTCGGAACGAATAACAGCGAACTTCTTTTCTTCGGAACTTTGATTGTGTCTTCCATGTCATGATGATGATGATCAGTGATTAAATGATACCCATATGGATGATTCACATGCGACTTGCGACTTGCGGCGGGGATGGGATGGGAATTGCACGGGATTGATTGATTGATTGATTTTCGGGGGATCCGATGGGGACAAGAGTCACTCAGCTACAAGCCGATCGGTGTAACCGTTTGGGAATCGGAGTTGTTGCGGCGGTGGCTTGTACCATAATGGCCGAAACCAAATCATCTTTCATCATTATTTTTCGCCAGTCGCTTAACATACCTAACTCAACGAACAAAGAGGACATTGATTTCCAATCCTGGCGACAATCATCTTTCTTTTCAATGGTGTCAGTCCCCTTTCAGAGCCCTCAAGCTCCCTAGCTCCCCAAAAGTTCGGATTCTTCCCATTCGTTACCGTTACCGTTACCGTCACCGTCACCGATCCTTCTACTGTATAAGGTAGGGTCCAAAGTAGTTCCTGCTTATCGATGACTTACCTTAGAAGTATCTTGTGCGGCGACAACGGTTTAACGGTTAACCCACAATACTATGGAGGGGAAAGAAGGGAAGCGGAAGCGGAGGTAGATTGGCAAGATTGGATGGAGAGGGCCCCTAAGAACTGAATGGATCATGTATGATGTTCATTGACATCACTACTTTCCACTTTGCTGTAACTTCCTGTAACTTAAAGTGAAAGATATGCGAATGGCGGGCGATAGCGAAACATTACTGTACCAACCTGACAGACCGATAAAAGAACGCCGATAATGCAATGGAGACTTTCTACACTGAGACTTTCCACTTTGTGGCTTCTGACCGAGACTTCTGACACTTTTGAATATCGTATAGAGATACGTTTTCTCTTGGCCTTTTTTCTCGGCCCTTTTCCTGGGCTGTCAGAGTTTGTCAGAGTTTTGTCTGGGCAGTTGTCATATGGCCCCATCTAAAATTCCAAAATTCCAAAATACCTGTCTTTCGCTTCCGTTCGACACGCTTCGCCTCTTTCTCCAGTCCCCACAAAGAGCTTGGCTTCGGGATGCGTGCCTGTGACAGCCTGTGACAGGCCGGGCTTATCAAGGTTATCACGGTTATCGCGGAGACGGAGAGGGAGATGGGAGATGAAGATGATCAAATGCACCTGTGACATTCCAGTTCCAGTTCGGTTCAGGCTCCGCTGTCGCTGTCCGCCGGTGTTGGCTCCGACTTCCGACGAGTTTCACGATGCACTGCACCACCCGAGCATCCACCGCCGGTGATAACGAAACACAACCTCTTACACACCTCTACTGTAAAGTGCGGAGAAGTTTGCCGCTGCCCAGTCTCGTCAGTCTGCCCAGTCTCACCAGTGAACCAAGAAGGCAGATCAATTGCGTAGTTAGTGGCACAGTTGTACTTGGCTTTTTTTTTGTGATTATCTTTCCGTGTTCCGTGGCCGGTCGTCGGTCGTCGGTTGTCATCTTGTTGTCGAGCTGTATGTAACAGAAGCACGCACCGAGGCCTAACTGCTACTGCTACTGCTACTACATACGGGACGGAGCTTAGCTGTAGCTGTAGCCTGTAGCTGTAGCCTGTAGCTGTAGCCTGTAGCTGTAGCCTGTAGCTGTAGCCTGTAGCTGTAGCCTGTAGCTGTGGCCTGTAGCTGTAGCCTGTAGCTGTCAAGCTGTCATCTCAACATTCCTGTATGTATGTATGTATTGCAAAGTGGTTTGCTTTGCTTTGCTGTGCTGTGCAACGGTGCACATGAGACAGCTATGTACGTAAGTTCCGAATAATCGGCCATTTTTTGTCATCCATATACAGAATGTTGAGATTGAAGTACCATAGTAAGCAGGTGACAGGTTGCGATTGCAATTGCAATTGCGATAAGAAGGATGCCTGAACGGTCTTTGTAATCGCAACCGGAGAACCCTTATGCTAAGTGCCTGCCTTCTAAGGTAGGCAGCAAGCGGTATGAGCCTCAGGTGTGTGTGACTTACACGTGTACCGCCCTGAGTTGTGTTCGCTTCAGTTGTGTCTGAATCAAGATGATTCAGATTCCCAAAGTCGGCCGGTTGCAAAAAGTCTGATAGGTTCGGTGTCGGTTCCGTCCCGAGTAGGCACCGAAGGAATGGTAACTATCGTGAGTTTTTCTCTTTCTCGGTTCGCGGGAGAGTCGGTATGATTCATAGCGGATGGACTGCGGGCGCCGGGCGGGACGACGGGACTGCCTGGTTTTGGGAGAGGGGTGTGTGTAAGAAAGAGAGAGAGATTGAGAGGGGGTGTGAAGGTTGATAAGATAATGCTAGGCTACCGGCTAGACCAAAGGTGGAAAACAAAGAGATGGAAATCCGGGGGAGACAAGGGGGGAGGGGTACGGTCGCGGATCTTGGCGCCATGCTCGCTTGATTTGCGGTAAGCAACAAGGCAGGAGAGATTTTTCTGGGCGCCATGCGATTTAGTAAAGTGCTAGAAAATTTCCCGGCCTTTGTTCATTTTCTACTGGACTTCCTTTGAGATGGCTCATGCGATTGAGATGGTCTCGGTTATCAGACCTGGGGAGAACTGTTGCCCTTTTTTGGTTTGAGGTGTCACTTATCCAGGGCGCAGCAATTGGAGCTTCCGTTGAAAGCCACAGGCACCTTGATGGTTCGGGGGTTTGATAATTCGCGACTTCCTCCATTCGGAAAGCTTCGAGATGTCACACCAAGCCGGGAAGCTCTTGCGTGATGGAGACTCCAGTCGCAAAAAGAGATCTGGACAAGAGGTTGGAGAAGATCGCACTAGAGTATCTGCACCAAGCAAGGAAGGTGAGGAGCAAGGCAAGGTCAGGTACGCGTAACCTCAACGTTTCGGTCCGGCAAGCAGTACCTAGCGTACAACGTACAGCGAATGCGAATGTGCATGTGAGCGCTGAAGTTTTTTTTAACGATGGATAACGTGATGCTTTCTCTTCCCCGCAAGGAGTTCTAACTCTACCAGGGCATTCCAAGATAATCATGATTAATCTCAAACTCACAACAGGTTGAAGAGCCATCTACGCTAAGTTCAGGTACGAGCTTGCATTGGTCACGCGGGTAAAGAAGACTCATTGCATAGCGGAGCCGGCTGGCCTAACCCGCACCGCGATTCCAAGCCGTTCAGAGAAAACAATCTGTTTCTTTGTTGACGCTAGCTATCTGATCACAGGGTGGTTCTTTCATCCCCGGGCGCTACCGGAAGTTCCAGAATCCAGACTCTGTCACTTCCAGGCTTCTCATTGACAAAGACACCATGGCCGATCGTCAGTCCCGCACTTACAAGCGCGGGGTAGGTCGTAGCAGCGGAGGCCGTAAGCGTGTTCCGGCGCGGTATGTCTCACGGGGAGAAAGGCCGACTGATCTCGAGAGCAATGAAACGCAGTTATCGAAACACGGTGAAGAAGCGATGCCCGGTCGACCGTCGGCAGCCAAGCCGGCTCATACGGCGGCCGCGGCTCCTCGGCGGCGCCGGTCATTGGACAGGGAACTACTTCCGAACGGCCCCTCCCCTCACGGCCCCTCCCCTCACGGCCCCTCTTCCTCCGTCAATGCGACTTATGCACCCCATTTGCTAGGGATGCGACCTCTACGGGTTACGCGTAACAATTTCACACCGAGCGAAGCGACGCAGAAACATGAAAGTATCGCGACCTACACCTTTCTCGGAACGGAAGCTTGGGAGGAGTGTCTTTAGCCGAAAAGGCCCAGCCTTTTGGTTACAAAGACTGGTGGCTGGCGTGGCTGCCAGTTGCGGTTCGGTTGGCCGCCGCACGTTCGGAGATTGCGGCAGTAGAGATTGATATGTATTGAACAATCAACAAACAGCGGAGAGTGGAAGTTTTGCGGTTTACGATTCGATGCGGTGCGGTATCGGTCAAACCGTCAAGCTGAACAAGCTGGTTACCGTATCCAGCTCAACGGGTGAGGTACTCACCGGTCGGGATTGGCGCAGGGCAAGACAATCTGGAATGCGAAAGCAAGGTGATTTGAGCTGAACGACAACCTCAACACAATGGGACGAAAAAAGAACGAGCATGTCAACCAAACGGGAACAAAGAAATTAAAACAAGGCAAGAGAAGGAGAATGCAAACGCCGATATAGGAGAACCAGCCGTCGTACGTTCCATCCACAAAGGAAAGAAAAAGGCAGAATAAAGAAGGATAACAATAGCATTGGCAAGTCCAGTCGTACGAAGGACCACCAGACTGCCGGCGTCAAGTCAAAGGCCAGGACGAAACAAACAATGGGCTCACAACAAGCGACCTGTCAACCACTGTGCTGGTGGTGGTGAGCGACGTGAGGCTTCAGCGCAAAGCAAGCCCTTGGCTTTTGCTTCGCTGGCACCCTTGAAGGGACCTGATCTGATCTTAAAGACTTCCAAGGGACCAAGGCTCTTAACCGAAGAAAGAAAACACCGCTTTGATTGGATATAGATCATCGTGACGAGATTATCAATGACTGCCTATGGAAATGTCAGGGCAGCGATTCAGCAGTGAGCAAACTCGCTTGTGTATCAAGAACCGAGTTAGACAACTGCACTCCGCCTTTCTGTAGGCAGATAGGCGCGTCGCGATGCCCAACATCCCACCCGATCCGTCTAGAGCTTTAAAGATTCGCGGGACTTGCATCTCAGACGGCGCGATTCAGATCCCATACCTTACCGACTTTTCGGCTTCCCGTCTTAGTCGAAACAACGGTCGAATCACGCCAGCCGGAAAGGTACCGGTTAGTATCCGGTAAACCACCAATGAAGTCCAGACAACTCATACAATGCTCTCCTAACTCACTAGAGCGACACACATGAACTGTAGGAGTTTGAGCTTGGTGGATTCTCTTTGGTTATCAAAACGAGCAATCGAGACTCGAGAGGCGAGCTGGTTTGTTAGTGAAGCAGCTGATAGGTGCTGTAAATCGTGGGGTTGGCGGTGCTGTGATGCGCTGTAGGACATGTTTAACTTTAACAGTAAAGAGGCTGGGATTCCCCAGCTTTTGCGGTTCGTCGGTGACCAGACATGTAACGACGAACGTAACGGCAAGGAAGCGAAAACGCGAACGACGAACCTGCCCTGTTGATCCCGTCAGTGCGGTGGGTCAATCAGGAACAGCCGAGCGAGACGACGTTTCGAAACTATCATTGAATCAGACCTTGCAAGATCTCAGGATCTCAGGACCTCAGGTACGAACACATCTTTTTTGGTCTTTCTCGCCTCCCCCGTATTCCATCTCCTCTCCCGAGTCAGATCTCGAGATCACAGCCCTCCAGATCCGTACCGTGCATAACGCGAAACTACCAAATATAGCAGATCCAGAGATCCAGACCAGCGTTAATCGTGGTTTTAGTTCCAGGGGGGGGCAGAGAGGAGAAAAGAGGCTGTGCGGTTCCGGTCTCAATCTGCTCCACGGCCAAGACCTCACGATAAGATAAACTCCGCGAATCGCAGCCAAACCGCCAACTGAACCCTTCAATGCCCTAACTCGCCTAACTACTCCACAGGAAAACAAAGCGAGAATGAGGATCATCCTTCTAGACCATTATCCAAAGAAGGTGTCAACTTATCAATTCTGCCCTGCGAAGAGAAAGAGGATCCCCGTTGTTAGGGACACTGCACTGCACTGCTACTCCTGGTGTGCGGTGTAGGTACCTAGCTGGTCGGTGTCCTTTTAACAGCGACGCTAGATCGCTAGGGCTTCTCCAAACCAGAGACAAAACTGAATTGCACCAAGGAAGCAAGCGTCGAGATTTTCCGTTAACGGTCAGCGGGAACTAAGGTAGAGAAACTAGTACGGGGATTATTAAGGTAATACGGGGTGTTGAGAAGGATGCACAACAACACTCACTAAACACAGGGGAAAAAGAGAGCCGCGTGACCAATGTCGTTAGAACATCGGCGGTCAAAGTGACACTCCATGTCACTGTCGGGACTGGACTGTTTGGTTACCGTGGAGACGGGGTCGAGGGGTGAATGTTGACATTTGGTAAAAGTCCACTTTGTGGATTCAGATCGCCCTTTGGCCTTTGCCTCTTGTGGACTGTGGGTTGTGGATATCCATTGTTGACAGTTGACATTTCTCCAGTTTCCCTCCACAATAGAAATGGTGATGTTCCCAAACCCACTCGCTGGTGACAATGGTACCTTGAGGCTCTCCGCTCCGCATTTCGTCTGTTCGGAGTTTACTTATGCAGGACCACGACCGGGGACTCGAGTAAACATGGGGGCAAACATGGGAGAAACCCTCAAGGGTGCACTTACGAGGATTACAGAAATCCCCTTTTTGGATGGAGAGTGAACAAAAAAGGGGTCTGGTTTCGGTTGGTTTTCTGTTTTGGTAAATCGATTATGCTTAAACCTCTTTTTCTCCGGATCGGAGGCAAAGTAGGCCTCGTTTCCTTCTCGAAGCTGAAACCGACATCGTTGAACAAGCCCCAGACGTTGAGTCCGGTCACATCATCACCTGACCGGAGCCAAACCAGGCTTTGAATGCTAGCCAGGGCATACGGTCCCGACTCACTGTTATGGGACAACTCGGCAGCGGTCGGTGTCGGTGTCGGTGTCGGTGTATTGACCTTGTCCGACCGCCGGCCATGGAAGCACATGACACGGGGTCAAATACCTTACCGTTCCCGTTACCGCTTACTCAGTAACTAGTATAGAACTAGCATTACATTAAGCTATCAGCACTCCCACCCCTATTTCGGAGTGGGAGATCCTTTCAAGGGTTGCAACATGCCGGCGCTCCGGGGGTAAGTAAGCCGTTGTTGGTAGATCATCAACTCTTCCCGGCCGGTCTGACCAGGCCAGGCCAGGGCTCGGGGGGTGTATATGTAAGTCACGAGAGGACGACGCGGGGGTTACACTAACCCTCATCTACTTTTGATATATCTTACCTTACCTTACCGCCGCGTTCCAGGCGCGAGTAGTGCACCCAGGAGGCCAGGGGAGATTCATGATAGCTCGCGATAGTTCATAAGATGGCGTGCGATGGTGTGCCGTAGCGGTAGCGGTAGCGGTAACCGTGGATGGTGTTTAGTAGATGAACTCCGAGATCTTTCCGCCAGTTTAGTACGGAACCGCTGAGCCGGTTGCAGCTCGTGCTATACCCGCTTACCACATCCCAAAACGCTTACCACATCCCAAAACGGATTTAAAGGTTGATGGAGTCAAGGAACATGGAATCGGGGATCTGGACTTTAGGCTCAAGCCCGCGGTATTCGGTATCCTGCCTTGAAACTTGGCGTTAAACATGAGACCTCGGCCCATGAGACAGACTCGAGACGGGGGTGGCTTTGAGCCGAAAGGCTTTGTTTTGTGGCTTTTGGCTTTTGAGTTGGCTTGACGGGGCTGTCAAGGTTCGAGACATATGATCCGGCTTGGGATGGCTGAGGTCGTGAGGTCGAAAATCCGGGGTTGAGACAAGGAGCTGGATTTGCGGTCAGGATTCGGCTTGGGTAGTCATCTGTTACGGATTGTCCAGATGTCATCTCCGGATAATCCAAGGTCTCGAGCATGTGAACGACAACGCTGCCTCCTACCAAGATATCTCGATCTCGAATTCGAACATGATCATCTCGCTACTTTCGCAACTCATCGAAAATCTTGGAAGAGTTGGTATTTGAAAGCGTTGCGTGGCCCGATCATGCGCACCAGTGCTCGGCACTCGCAAAAGTGTGATAAGAACGCCTCCGTTCCAAGTTCCCGGTTTTTGTTTCGGGATGTCTCGATTGGAGGTGATGATGTCTGGTGCGGTCCCGATCACATGCAGATGCGCCAACACCACACGGATAGCGCACCCGCAAACTGCCAAGTCCTTCTATGCACAGGCAGACCGGCGACTAAACTTTCCAGGGCGAACGACGGTCTCGGATATTTTCCCACACAACACTAATTCGAGAGTGGTAAAGGTCCGAGATGTTATCTTGTTCGGCTCGACTGTAACCCAACCCTTCCGAATGGTCCTCCGTGAATGGAGGTTTCAAGATAACTGTGTTTGAGTGAAGCGGCGTTGCTTACTCTGTCGTGCATCGATAGATTACTAGAAAGCCTCCGCTTAGTGATTTAGTTTTGACTTTCAAGGACTATAATGTCAGAAAACTGGCTGTTACCCCTCACTACGGAATGTGTGAGCGGAACGAAAATCGGCTTTGATAGGTAACACTGGCTGAGGGTTGATCATATTCAGCCAACATTTGTAAAGAGCTTCCTGCTTTGAAATACACAATGATGGTGACGTCAGTCCCAGATGGTTATCAACGTTGCTTAGTCGAGGAAAGGCGGTCAAGTTGTACATGACGGAGCTGCAGGGAGATTATCTGAGCATCGCTCGGTATGCATCGATATTGGTCGAATGGTCGGCACCTTACTTATCCGTTCACAGCTGTGACTTTGACACCCACCATCTTATTCGGGTTTAAGGTATCGGAGGTGTTGATGAGTCGTACGGAGTCGATGATGTGTGTGTGCCCTTGCATGTTGACAACATGGAGGGGTGTGAACCATTACCGCTCACTCCCACCTTGAATGCCCGCCTTTATGCAGTGCTTCAGTGTTTGCATCGTGATCCATTAGGCACCTGAATGAAAGTTGCCCCAAAGAATTTGTGTTGTGGTTGATACTAGGAGACTAGGTGCTCCGATATTCGGCCAGGTCTTGCCCCGCGGAACCATGAAGCTTTGGGAAAACGAAGATCCAAGGAAAGAATCGGGACTGTGATTCGGGTCACACGGGAGTTTTCGCGTCGAGGCTGGCAACCTTTATAATTGTGCTGGGTGACCGAGAAGTTGAAATCCGATATCGTGAAAACCGGCTTTTGTGGTAGCTGAAAGCTGTCAAATGACGTTTGGCCTTGAGGGGTGCCGTGCAAATGCCGCGCCATGTGCTTCAGTCATGATATCGTGATGTTTTCAGCCTTATGGACGGAACCCGTCAATGGTATTTTGAAGTTGTTTTCGGATGAAGTAGGGTCTGCATGGCAACCCGCAATCCACATCCGCAGACGGGATCCGCATCGAGGAGGGTGGATTATCGCGAACGTCGCGGTACATAGTGGATGTCGATGATGACATTGAGAAAGTGACAGAGGCCGGAAAGAAAAGGACATCTATTGTGTACCTCGTACACCTCCACTCTTCACGGGAACTTGGGTGATCGGCCGCGCGCCCGTCGAAAAGCCGAGCTGCCGCACTGCGTGGAGCCGGAGTGCACGGGCGGGGTTGGGTGAAAAAATCTCGGAGATGCGGGACCAGCGGGGCTCCGAAGATGCCGGGTTCTAGTGGGGCATGGAAGCTATGGAGCTATGGCCACCCGCGGGCCGTCGGGAAAAGAATGGAGATTGTGCTTTGACTCTATCAGTGTGCACGACGACGTCACTGCTCACCACCTTCATCTCATCCACCGGGTCGTTCCGACCTTGACCTTGACTCCCATCGTTCCCCACGTCCCAACCCCAGTCCCCGACTGCATTGCTTTGATCACCGACTTCCCACAAGGCTGAGGAAGGGCACCACTGCACCACTGCACCACTGCACCAGCCATGCAGCCGGCTACCAGATCGATAGCTGTCGCCGGCCCGGCCTCTGCGGCCTTGCGCCACCGGAGCGCACGCACAGCTACCACGCCATTCGTCTGCCTTGGCTGCCGGTCCGTGCAACGCCGACAACAGCAACATCGCCGACCATTTTCGGGGACCGTCTCTACACAAACGGATCTCCGCTCCGGCCTCACCAAACTCACATCCCGACGCCTGATCTCCGTGTCTGGCCCAGATGCCTCCAAGTTCCTCCAGGGTGTCATCACCAACAACATCGATGCTCCGCACAATGCCAATGGCTTCTACACCGGCTTCCTGACAGCCCAGGGCCGTGTGGTCCACGATGTCATCATCTACCCCGATGAGCTGGGTCCAGAACCAGGCAAGCGGAGCTTCCTGATTGAGGTTGACGCCAACGAGGCCATGACCCTTCACAAGCACATCAAGCGTTACAAGCTGCGCTCCAAGTTCAACCTGAAGCTGCTGGACCCGGAGGAGCGTGCTCTCTATCACGCATGGAACGATGTAGACCAGTCTGGCCCATGGAGTAAGCTGATCGATGAGATTCAAAAAGATGGCAACCCAAGGACCGTCCCGGACCCGCGTGTTCCAGCCTTCGGCTCCCGTGTAATCGTCAACCAGACCTCCTCCTCCTCGTCACTAACAGACAACGACCTGACACCCGAGTCATCCTACCACCTCCGCCGTTTCCTCCTCGGCATCCCTGAAGGCCAGTCCGAGATCATCTCCGGCAGTGCCCTCCCTCTCGAGTCCAACATGGACGTTATGAACGGCATCGACTTCCGCAAGGGCTGCTATGTTGGACAAGAGTTGACCATTCGCACGAAGCACCGTGGTGTTGTCCGCAAGCGCATCCTTCCTTGCATTCTCTATTCCGAGGGTGCCGCCCCCGAGATCCCGGCTGACGGTCCCGGGCAACTGGAAGCGCTGGAGAAGCTGCTGAAGCCCGAAGTCGATGAGGGAGTCAAGGCAGAGATGATTCCTCAAGGGGCAAGCATTGATAAGGTGGACAAGAAGTCTAGGAGTGCTCCCGGCAAGTGGCTGAGGGGTATTGGCAATGTTGGGCTGGCGCTGTGCAGGCTAGAGGTAATGACAGATACTGTCTTGCCCGGGGAGACACCGGGCATGTATAGCCCTGAGCAGGACTTCGTGGTCAGTTTGGGCGGAGGGGAGGGCAGTGAAGTCGAGGCAAAGAAGCTCAAGGTCAAGGCCTTTGTGCCGTTTTGGTTGAAGGATGTGTGGAGGATTGAGGCGGAGAAGGCGGAAGAGGAGAGGAGAATGAGGGAAGAGCTGTTGGGAGAACGGGAATCGGATGTTGAGTAAGCTGAGCACTACCTACGCTTGGATGTCAAGTGCATCTCGGGGTAGCTACTTCCGTGAAATGGGAATATGCCATCACCACTCCTCCCCTTGGTATGCTTCGACGTTGCTCACTCAAGAAATAATAAAGGTCAAGGCAGGAACGGTCCTTCTCGCCTCCTAGGTATACATACATCCTTCCTGCCTCGAGGAACTACTCAAACTTGGCCTCATCCCCTCTCAAGTTTCATTTCTCAGTTTGCCATGTGGAACGTTCATGTCCTAGACACCCATCCACCGGCACTTCGGTATTTAAGCCTCCCTAACATGGCTCGTCCCAACGCCGCTTCCAGTATGAAGTCAAATCATGGAAATCTGGTCCAAGTCGTTCAAAATCTTCTCCGCGAAGTGAATGGCAACTGTGTCATCGTCCACATCCTCAATTTCCTGTCCGACAAAGCCTTCGTTCTCATCATCGAGGCATGTCAGGCACGATAGAACGACGTGCGCATACTTGTCACCCATCCGCGGCGCTAGCCTGGTACGAGCCTGCTCGACAAGGTAATTTTTGAGGCTAAATGCTAGCGCTTGAAAGGTGTTTGTAGGGCGAGTTTCTTTCGTCGTGGCTTTGTCTTTCTCTGCGAGCCATTTCTTGAACCGATAATAAGGCTCTCCAAATTGGGCGCGCGGTCTCCCCAATTCCCCATCTTCCTGGCTGTACTCGACAAACGATTCCCACAATCCTATCTCCAGAAGATACACTCCGAGGCTGTATATGTCGTGTTGCATACAGTACCTTTCCGTTGGGTCGAAACCCTGGCGGAACGGATGTCGATATACATTGCGCGAGCTTCTGCGCGAGCATGCTAACGTCTTTTAGAACATCGCGTGCTCGGGCAACGGGTCCAACCTGGACCGTGTCGATGATATACCATCTCTCCTCCGACTTCATGAAGCCTTTCTTCGCTTCAGACAGCGGAATCTCCGACATTTCCATCTGCACTTCTGCAAGGAATTTGGGCTTAAGCCGGTTAACACTCGGGTATAACACACGACGCATGCCTGCAGCGACGGTCAATGGGTTTTTGGCCACTGATACGACACTACGGGCATTGCTTCTATCCCATTCGCAGATTGTGCTCCGGCAAGAGCAGCATCGACCATAGGGCTCGTTGTCTTCGTGACCATAAACCACAAAGGATCGAAGCGGCGATGCCATGTGTCAAGGTCGCTGATGATCTGATCCAATGCATCCTTTTTCCAGGCCCAGGACACTTTCTTGGCTTTCGATCCAAACCCCCATAGCCGGAACCGTTCAGGATCGTGTCTTCTGGTAAATTCGTCCAATGCTGTGTCGGCCGATGACAGCTTCTGTGAGAGCTGGAGCAGAAGCCCGTCTATGAGCCGACATAGATCTTTGTCCAGGACAGATTCGATACGTTTCAAGAAGTCGAGCTGGAGTCTGCTTGTATGCCATTAACTTTGAATCGTGAGAGAGCGCTCCTGAACCTCGCTGTCGACGTTCGCTAGAGTCTTGCATATCTTAACCACCCTCTCCCCAACCCTGTCACCGCATGCGTCAGCGACCAAATATGGATATTGTGCAATGTCACGATTCTGACTTACTCGCAACAGGTCAAAATAAGTCCAATGGAAACTGGATCCATTCTCTCTTACTTGCAAGTCAAGTACACTCGTAAGATATTTACAATCTGTTGGGAAATTTTGGTGTTTCCTGGGTCAACTTCATACGTAAGGCACTGGACACTGGTGGGAGTTTGGCCGCCACGTCTGCCTATCCTCCTTCAAATATTTGAATTTCTGTGGAGGGCCCCGAGCTGAATGAATATGCAGTGCGGCCTCACTCCCGCCAACATGGTTACTCCAATGAGATCACACCACTCCAGAACTGCGCCTCGCACGATTAAGGCCGCAATGGATGGTGCCAAGGTGAAAGGCTCTGATTTGGTGCAGCCTTTTCTCATATGGCAAACCTACGACCTATCCCCACTCGTCCAAGTAGGGATAGGTAAACCATCACACTCCACTTCCTCGGATAGGCAAGGTGAAAGCGCGACCTTTTACGTGTTCGCAGAGAGAAGTGAACATCATCAGCTTTTGGTTGTTCTACTACAACATGGTTCGGCCGGTTTGGGCATTTCCTAACTGAACGCTTGCCATTTCCTCAGGCATCCAACCGAAACGAAGCAAATGAAAATCAGGCAGTCAACTACAATGGATGCAGCTTTTAGCGACGACCTACAGGGCTGGGAACTTCCGACGATATTCGAAGGTGGAATTCGATATCACGACTTGCCAAGGGGCACTCAGTGCTGGAAATCGGTTGAAGTTAGGGGAAGGTACAGGTGGAGAGGTCTGGAAGGAACGGCGGTACCGCCTCTTGCCGGCACCTGGTCGAATATCTGCCGTGCTGTCAAGCATATCCCTAAACGGAAAGGCAACTCTGCTAAAGCTTTAAAGCGGGAAATCAAGGCGCTCACTACATTCTCCAACCGCAGTGTGGTAGAGGTAAGCAGTTGATTGATTGTTCGGTAAACTGTCAAGTCTAACATGAATTGATACAGTATCAACAACATTTCGTTCAAATTCTTGGGTGGTTCCAAGACGAAACACACTGGTATATTGCAATGGAATTCGTCGAGCACGGAAACCTTCAGCGACACATAAATCGAGGGTGCATACCAGAAGTGGAAGCAGCATTAATAACTTCCTAAATAGCTCGAGCTTTGCTCTATATGCATGACAAAAAGCTGGTCCATCAGGATCTTAAGCCCCTGGTATGTCATTAATAGAGCACCTATTTTCTACCTTAGACTCACCAGTTCGAATGATTTGACCCGAAGCTGAAACGATACTAAGAATATACTGGTCGCTCATCCGGGTCCAAGATGGCATGTCAAAGTTGGCGATTTTGGCATTACAAGAAACCTGAGCGAGACCAGGACTGAGACGCATCACATCGGGACTTTCGGTTACATGGCACCAGAAGTTTGGAACACTTCACAACGCTGCACATTCGCCATCGATGTTTGGGCCCCTGGGGCCATCACATTCTGCATGCGAACTGGATTGCCCCCATTTCCCAATGTTATGGACTTGGCCCGTTACCCTCAAGATTCTGCCTTGTTCCCCACCCTCAAGCTTAGCTCCTCTACTCAGGCGTGTAGAGGGATCATTACAGGCGCCATGGCAGCAATACCCAAGGAGCGCCTGACTACTACCGAAGCTTTGGCCCATCATTGGCTTTCCAGAAGTTTAAAGCTTTCCCAGATGTAAGTGTTGACCCCGGTTTGTTCTTCACCGTTATGGTCACTTTCGCTTAATTAAGCTCCTCCAGCTCTCCCGGGGCCGAGTCGTCGGCCTCACTGTCACCGAGCTCATCACTGGAATCACTTCCTCTGGACGACTGGGCGAGCGCGTATAGCGACATCAGCTCTCATCCACGCCACCAATCTCCTCTTTCTACTGTTCCACACAAGATGAAGCCAAAGACGGCTCGCACGCAGAAGGCCAAACATGGAGTGGACGGCACCAGTTCTCCTCAGCACGCTCAATTATCTGATTCCTTTGATTTCTACGAGTTACCCAGGAACTGTCACCAAGTCAATGGGCGGACAAGTGCCGGAACGGTCAGAGACATTGAACATTAATTCTACCCCGACGATGAGTTATTCACCGCATCTTCGACAAATGCCGTTTTCTCTGAGCGCCCATCATTTTCTGCACACGGGCGATATAGCGCATGGGTAGAACCGTAAGTGCCCCACGAGCTCGTTACATGAGGCCACATGAACTGACTCGGAATAACGCAAAGCCCTCCAGATGATTCTTATGCTCGTGTGCCCAGATACCCATCCCCACTCGCAGCGCTAGAATCTAATGGTACCAAGGGGAAAGGTCGGCAACGCGACAGCGACACGTCTCTCGACGGTACAACGTTGCGGACAGTAGAACCGCAATCAAAAGGAGTACTATTTCAAGAACCGAGAGACGCAGCAAGAGTAAACAAATTCGAAAGAGAAGAACACCGGCAACGCCAGCCAGTTCCGAAAGACAAACAACGAGGCCCATTGTTTCCACAACCACGAGAATACAGAGAGCCGGAGATGGTAGATGTGGGGAGAGACCATCCTGTTCCCCCAGGAAAACGGAAGCCCTTTGTACCTCCCGCCCCCAGCGGACGAATACCCCAATGGCTACGCCAAGAAAAGTATAACATAGAACATGGTAGCGAAAGCATACCTGCGTTGCCCCGAGAAGAATTGCGTGGGAGAATACCGACTGTAGAGTTGGAAAAAAAAGAGAGACTCAACAGGCTTGAGCGAAGAGAATCTAGCGGCTCTGCAGCGGTTAGGCGTGCCAGATCCTTTAGTCACTGGGGAAAATAATAAGGCTAGAGATATGAGGCATCAAAGAAGAGTTACAAAACCGCCAGATGAAGAACTTGCATCTCATTATTTGACTCTGTAGAGTAAAATTTCCGTTCATCCCTTCGTCTAGTACTACGTCCGAGTCTGCCTATCAGCTAAGATGTCAGTTTCAGTGTTCACTTATTGCTACGAAAGGAGGCCAGGGGGAGAGCTGAAGGCTAGTTAGTGCCTTTGCTTTTCCCCAGTCAGCTGAATTATCCAGACCAGTCACTTCCTGTTAGCCATCTACTTCGTGCTATCTATCCTCACCTGTCATGTACATGACGTTTCTCTTCGCCGCTCCGCCGGACGTATCAGTCCTTGATCAGATGATAAATCTCCTTTGGGATGCGATGTTTCTCCTCATCCATGTGCTTAAACAGTTCCCCACGGGTATCGAACTCTTCGAGGCATAACATGCATATACTATCAGGGTCCGAATTGAGCCGTCTTAAGTACTTCATTCATTTCTCTTAAACCTCTCGTGCTTCCTTCAGCTTTTGCCGACGTCGCTCTTCTTTCTTCTTTGCCTTCTCCTCGTCCTCCTTTTCTTCTTCTTTTCTCTGTGTCTCTTCGCGTTCTTTGATAAACTCCTTCTTCCACTTCTGCTGACGTTGTTAAGGGCCGCATTCGCACGTTCCCGGGTCTCTTTTAATCCTTGCTGACGCTGCTCCTCCTCTTCTTACTTCCTTCTCAACCGTTTTATCTCTTCCTCCCACGCTATTAGTTCCTGCTTTCTTATAAAGTCGGCAAACTACCTCCAAATTTCTATGGGGATCTTGGTACAGGTCTCGGGGCTTCTTGTTCCCCAGTAACAATGATTTCAAGCTCAAGTTATTCCGCTCTTGCTCCTGCAAGAAGTCTTCCCAGGACTGATTCTCTTTGGCCTGTCTACTCTGCCGCTCCAAGTTATCGTTGTTCATCCGATCCTTATCCATACGGGTATACTCTTGCATGTCTCCTTTGTCCGGGTGCACTATATGGCCTGCCTCCATGGTGTGGTCGACGAGGTGGGAACGCCGGTCAAAACTGGCCCAGCAGATCATACAGTATATCTCCCCATTGCCACCGCCGTGGTGGAGTGAGACGTTACTCAGAGCGAGTACCTCTGAGAGGGCGGGCTTAGAAGTCAATTTTGGCTAAGATATCTCGTTCAGTGAGGACGGAGAATCGGTGCGACTCCAGGAATACCCGATAGTTATGAGGGAGAGAGGTTTCGATAAGCTGTTACGTCGATCATAACGAATCAATTTTATCTGGACAAGGGATCAGGATCTCTCAACTCAACTTCGATGACGAAACGCGCCTCTGCTATCCAGAGAGAGCCACTCGTGCGGCATCATCTGATCTATAGTCAACCGTTCTGAATGACATGGTTACATGGCTTCCAGGATAAAGTCGATACAAAATCCTGTCGTGGCCCCCAACTCTCCGGTAGGAAACTCGGTGCGATAGTTCTGCAGTGCAACCACTCATCCAAAGTCTCAAATGGAGAAGCCCCAGTCAGCATGCAGTAGACCACAGCTCCCAGCGCCCACACGTCAAGCACAGCTGTGTAGGAGATTTCCCACGGTTGAAATATCTTTGGAGCTATGCATCCGCGAGTTCCGATATAGTGCGTGAAGAACGAATTGTTGTCGAAGAGGTTTTTGGCGATGCCAAAATCGGCGACCTTAACATGCCAGGTAGGTTCTTTCTCAGCGACGAGGATATTCCGAGGCTTGAGATCTCGGTGGAGGAAGCCATCCCGATTTTCAAACATCTCCCCTCTCAGCCAAGTATGGCACCACGAAACGGAATCGAGCAGAAAATCCAATATCAGATAAGATGAACCACCTCTTGTTGGAAGGCCAGCTCTGGATTTAAGCATATCAAGCGAGTTGGGTTGAAATTGATGAGTGTCAACGTTGGGTTTGCCGGTTTCGGAGCGCTGCACCAAGGGACATATTGATCACAACCAAGCAATGCATCCTTCCACACGATTATGGAACTCGATGAACTTTGATTTTCCTTATGCCCACTCAATGGTGGTAGTACCTTCCCTATGCTTAACATCTGGTATGGGTATCTCAAGGTCTATGAAGGCGACAGTAAAATGCAAATGATTCCAGAACTTTTGACAACCGTTCATCCTTTAAGCCGAACCATGCACCTGAGCGCCGAAAATGCCAAACCGGATGCCAGTGGTCAACTTCTTATGTAACTGTCCCAGTAAACCGGCCATTATGAAGACCGAGAGATACCGAAGAAAAGTTGGAGATGACCAGCAAGATATGAACATAGATACAAAATAAAAACACAAAACATGAAAACCACCTAGGTCTGAACTTGACCCTGACTTTGCAGGGTAACGCACCCATCCAAACGTTCATCCTCTCTCATTTCGGCTGGACTTCATCAAGTGTGTCCGTGTGATCGTTGGTACATTCTGCGAGAAATGAGAGAAGGGTGAATCTCGACATGAAGAGGGCGATTGGTCGTATGAACTGGTACTTGCAAAATGAAAGCACGTAATAGAACAGTAAATCTGCGTCCTTATTGAAGGGACAGCAAATGTCCTTGTGTAGTGAAAGCGTTGTATCCCGTATCCCATCGGGTACTTGTAGTCGATCGTTGGGTGGTAGACTACCAAGCTTTTGGTTGTGAAGCTGTGAAATAACTAGGCGGAAAAATCTTCGAAAAGGTGCCGTAGTTGCTGCAGGAAAATGTGCTGATGGACATGACTGTTGAATCTCACTGCAGGGGATATTGTTGCCGATTGTGTGATGCCGTCTCCAGGCGTTGGTACTCCATGGCTTGATGTCGATAACTTGTAGGATGCGGCTTTCCTTGTACATTTGAGGGCGGGAGCGCATATCGAGCCATATTGAGGAGTGCCGAACACTGAGAGGTTAAGTTGAAGCAAGACAGTGCTGGGGCAAAAGTGTCGTTGCTTGTGGTAAGGTCTCATGGGGACCTTTAGTTTCCGTTGGAGGCAACATCCTCATCCAAAGTGCCCATGAGCTCACGGAGCACAACAGTGGCGTAATTGCTGCTTCGCAGCTGGAACTTGAGAATAACCGCAAGCTTGCTGGCATCAGGGCTGCTACGGATGACCTCTGAATTGTCGACAGAAGCCAAAGGATTTTCCGAGGGTGCATGAAGATCAGGGACAATCAGACTGGCGGCCTTGTTGGTGTCGGTTTCATCGCCCTTTTCGTTGTTGAGGGGGACCAAGGACTTTTCGGTCTCAGCGGCAGCAGGAAGGGTGGGCATGCTCGATCCATACCAGCCCATCGGGTCAGCGACCGCGGGCTGGTTGCTTTGGGCAGTTGTCTCGTTGGTAAGAGCAACAACATCCTTACTATCAGCCTTGGGGGCCGTGGACTCGTCAGGCATGATGAGATCCTCCTGCTTGATAATGCTGTCCTCTGATTTGATGACCGTTTGTTGAGCGGTCGACTCATAATAGAGATCCGACAATCCCTTGGCTAGCGTCGGCGTCTCAGTGGCAGTGGAGGAAATGGCGCCACCGTTCGTGGCATCTTCGGCAACCTTATCGGCGAGTTGCTCAATAGGCACCTTGGTCTCAAACTCTTGCTCGTGACGCGCGATCTTAACGCGCTTCTTACTACCGTCAAGCCCGGTCTGGATCCAAGTCTCCCTGGCCTTGACAACTCCATCAGACTCTGGCGACTCGGAGGCCTTGCGGCGACGTTCATTGGTGATTGCCTGGTCGTATTGCTCAGTGTTGTTGGCAAAGTGCGCCCAGTTAGCAAGAACAGGCCGAGATGCTTCGCGAGACTTGGCCTTGGCGGCCTTCTTCACTGCATTCGCCACTTTACAGAAGTCCAGGTCTGTAGGATACATTTGTTCCGTGTCGTCATTGTAAACCCGGATGGCATATTGGGGCTCGACAATGAATCGGCCCAGGAGATGACGATAGTTGCCGCTAAGGCTGAACTCCTTCTGGCGGCGACGCATGTCGTACGGGTCCAAGCCGCCATTTTCTTCCATCTTCATGAATGTCACATAAGCCTCGCCGATAGCGTTGCGAGGGTATATGACATCGTATCCGGGAGTGGGCAGAACAACGTCAAATATGGTGTATTTGCCAGTCTCGATGTCTTCCTTCGTGAGTGCGCGAGCTTGAGCGTAACAGTTGTCATCCTCCTCGGCATCAGCATCGGCAGCCGACTGGTCGTTCTTGACCAATACGAGATCACCCTCGATGACGGCAGGACCATACATGGACCAGCGCTTAGAGGCCATGTGGTTCCAGACAAACGACTGGTAAGCATGAATATACATCATGCGCATGCCACGGGTAATGCTCAAGAGGGCGCCCATGAAGTCTCTCGAGTTGTTACCAAGGTGACGAATGATAGCGGCCTCCGAGCTGAACCGCTTCGGAAGGATGGCCAAAGCCTTCTGGGCATTTCTGGTGGTCCTCCAGATGGTGATGGCCTTAGCGCGATTGTAATCATCGCGGCTGTTATGAAAGTCGTTGGTATGGACAGGCTCCTGCTCTTCAAGATCAAATGCCTCTTGGAGGAAATGATCTTCAACATGAAGAATGTCGTCAAGCACACCCTCGTAGTCCTCCTTCAGCACCTTCATGCCCAGGAGGTGGGTGCCAATCGCGTAAGTGCCGAAACGCTGGAGACCATAGTAATTGATATAGCCATGGCGATTGAGGTAGGCCAAGCCAAACTCAACAGCCTCCCTGAGCTTCCTTACGCGTTGGTTGACCGAGCAGCCCGCGCCTCCAAGAGGTTGGCAATTCTTGAGGGTGATAACAAACTCGTTGCCGCCGTGCTGGCCGAGCTGGAGAGGCTCGTTAGCATGGTTGAAGTCGCCGACCTTGATGTTAGGGAGGCGTGTGTTCAGCCAAATAAGGTTGGACGCGCGCTGGCGATAGACGCTGATGCGCTGAACGGTGCCAGCACGGCGGTCCTTGGTCCCGGCGAACCCGAAGTTAGTGGCCTTGACCTTGAGGAGACGCGCGATGGTGTTGACTGCGTCCATGGTGTCCTTGTTCTCCTTGTACATGGTAAAGTGGAGATACTCTCCGCCCAGCTGGGTGAAGCTCTTGCTCTTGTCCCCGGAGCGGCTGTTGTTGGCACGGGGACCATTTCCACCGACACGGTTGTTCCTTGAGAATTTTGATGGAGAAGCAGTGATGACACCAGTGTTGTTTGCGAGTGTCTCGATGCGGTTAGAGAATATCCGACGAATCTCCTGATGGAGGCTGGCGCGCAGAGCCCGATCTGTGATGGGGTCGAAGGTGACAGTGCGCTCCTCGGGGGTAATGGTCTTTTTTGCCTGAACAGCTTCGTCAAGCTTGACCAGCTTTTCGGTGGCTGACTCGTTGATCAAGCTGACCAGCTTCTGTCTGTCTTCATCGGAGATAGGCTTGATCTCCGGCTCGGTGGGAGGAGCGACAATTTCTGGTGTAGGTTTGGGAGGCGCAGCCTGGTATAGAGTCAGTACATAAAAACCTTGACGAACAACATGGTATGTGACAACGAACTTTGGGGACTGCTAACTCCTGCTCTTCATACTCGTGGAGATGAACAGTCGTGCCATCCTTGCGGATTTCGTAGACGAGGAAGTCGGTATAACTATGTATATATGATCAGAATCAGCTGTACATCACCTTGAGCGAATGAAAATGAGTAAACTTACCGCTTCCTGATGTCACCGGTCCATGAGAAGTTAATGGAGGCTGAGCGTTGCGTGATGCCGAGATTCTTCTCCGAAGCAGCACGCACAGCAGGCACATGAGTGCCCTGGCGCTGAGCCATGTTGAAGATGTGCTAGGATAAGGTTGTTTTGACAAGTATGATGAGTGACGATTCTGCCAGATATCGTTACAGGATGTGCGACCGAGGATAGCTGGATCTGAGTAAATGGGACAGGACGCTTGATTGCTGTGTGATGCGATGCTGGTACGTCAAGCTCTGTAGAAAATGCTGAATGGTATGTTGATGATTATTTGATGGATGCTGGACGTTGTGAAATAAAACTGAACCAAGCAGGGATCCGTTTTCGGTCAATCAGTCCACAGCGGAGAAAGGTAGACAGTGGGGGTCGCAGGGTCCAAAGAAGCGACTGTAACTGCGACTGCTGGTAGGATTGTTGAAAGCAAAACAGCGCAACAATGCTTGGATTGCGAATATTGCTTGTGAACAGATGGTTTCTTTACCCTTTGCGGTTCGTAGTTTGTGAATTTTTTTGAAGTGGTTTGTGTGAGGTGGAAGGAGAAAATCGGCGAAGGAGCAGCGCTTTTTGAAGCTGAACCAGAAGTTTACACCGCTTTCCCTTTCACTGTAAGTGTGAATCTACACTGTGGGCAGAAAAGCGCAGCTGTGGGGGTGGGCCGCGGGGCATCCCAGCCTTTTGTGGAGAATTCAGGGTCCCTGCTCTGTTAATTGGCCAGACTTTTGCGACCATATGAAGTATCTTTGTACCTCTGACGTCCGGTCCCTCCTTTGCTTGAGGGCTTTTGGAAATCTGAAATGAAACCTCCCGCGGAAACTCCCCTTCACTCCTGCCCAAATTACCCGAGAAGAGATAACGAACACCACGGCACTCATATAAGGCGGTGAACTGCCCGCCAGGAATCCGCACACAAAGTCTCAAATCTCCAACCGACCATAATGGAAGCCTGAATAAAGGCGAGCCCCATGTCATTCCGACTTCTCATCTGAACTGAATGAAATTAACAAGACGGATGCTGCAGTCTCATCGAGTCCAGAAACTTACTACGCCACCAGGTCACGTCATTTCATGCGAAAGCCCAGCCACCCATGGTCTCTCTCCGTTTGCAAAATCTGCGAGATAGAGACGGTGTGACTCGAAAGAAGACAGCACGTTTCGAGTGAAGGAGAGGATGGGAAGCGTGGAGGGGTCGGAGGCCTAGATCACCATAGCAACCCAGGACAAGTTGCGAATTCTGGGAGCCGACGAATTGCTGGATTGGATGAACGGTCCGGGTTCAAGTCGCAAACTTCAGGACAAGGAAAGAGGCTGAAGGTGGGCTCAGGTACCCGCACTTTCGAGACGTCGAGATTCAAAGCCGGCTGCATGTGAGACAGCTTCGATGGTGTTAATGCAAAGCATCCATTACGCATGCCTTCCGCTTGTGCTTGTACTTTTGCGGCTCATATTAAAGCAGCATAGTGGTTACTTAAAATCCGAGGCATTGAGCTTGCCTAAAAAATTTCAGCAGAGTACCATGGTTGTCATCGAGAGACACAGGACGACGGGAGCTGCGGGCACCCAGTACGAACCGAGTAATCGGGTCAAGATTGAGGAACGGGTTATCGATTCCTGTGGTCATGTTAACATCGAACCGGTTTATTAAGTATACAGTCAACATTGAGAGTCGTTGAGCACATCGAAGTATGTTCCCCAAAGATGTAACCCTCCTCGAGGATCCATAACCCACGATCGTCAAGCCAAAGCCTCATGGGCCACGGATAACCCTAGGCTGCCACGGGTCCGATTAGACGTGCATTGACAGCGATGCGTTTCAACTGTGGACATGTACGCCAAGATACAGGATCCCTGGGGAAACACATGAGATGTTGAAGTCTCCTTGCCTCGTCGGAATGATGGAGCAAGTGAGAATTGGGATCTATAAAGTGACCGGCTATGCTCATATTCTTCCCTCGAGACATTGACTTTGTAAAAGAACCCCGGCTGGACCTGGGAATATCAAATATCACGAGATCACGAAAACCAAGCTCAATTGAGGACCCAAAGACAAAGTCCCTGAGAAGTGTACGTGCAGCTGCATCCAACCGAATGGGAACTGACACCCCTGACGGTCCACCACAATAGACGCTACCATCGAAAAACGTTATCGGCAACCGCAATCTCTCAGAGACTGGAGAAGGTCTGGGATGAGCACGGGCGCCAACCGGTCGGCAGTCAGCAAATCACAGCAAAGAATGGGGCTGCCGGGGGTGGAGATGGGCGAGCTAGGGCCGTCAGCGCAAAGTGGGCAGCCGGCGGCGGCTCTGCCAGACCCGGCTGCCCCTGCTAGAGCAGCCGCCCAGTCACCCACCCAATCCACTAACAGCACCACCTCTGTCAGTGGCCCAGCCAGCTCGGCCAGGTCCAGGTCCAGCACCGGCGCCAGCACCAGCAGTTGGGAGACGAACTCCGGAGGCCCAGTCCAGGTGGAAAAGTTCCCTGAATTGCCCACACACACCACCAGTTCCGGGCATCAACAACATCCTGTCCATCATCCTCACCACCATCACCATCCCCAGCCTGCGTCCGAGGCTGTGAGACGAGACGGCACCTGCGCCCACACTGCTGAAGGAACCCCAACCTCCCCAGCAGCAGCAACACCAACTCCCGTCCTCAGGCTAAATACCGACCACACCGAACTTACAAGTCCAGGAGAGTCGCCCTCCGCGTCGTGTCCTGCAACAACCGGCCGTCCTCCGTCGCTTTCGATCCATTCGACTGCCGCCTCGTCATCCGATTACTCGAGTTTGTTATCAGACGGTGACTTGGTCTTTGATTCGCGCCGATCGTCCGTCGTCACCAGCGTCTCGACCGCATCCGCATACAACCACCCCCTATCTTCTCCCTGTTGCCAGTTCGACTCCTCTCCGGAGCAGCCGCTCACACGTACTCGGCGGGACGCCAAACAATTGCATGCCGCCCGTCTAGAGCGCTCAGGCTCGACCAGCCTAGCTCTAGCCAGCACCAAAAGGGAGGCATTAAGCCCAGGACCCCGGAACCCGACCAGATTCCAGAGGGCCTCCTCCGAACCAACCCGCGCCCCAAAGCTAGTTACGGAGCAGCCAGCCGGCTTCACCAAGATGGCTTTCGCCGAGCAACAACAATGGATTACGGTCCAGCAAAAAACATTCACAAAATGGCTAAACACCAAGATTGAGGTTCGCGGCCTCGAGGTCAAGGACCTAGTAAAAGACCTCAGTGATGCTGTACGTTATGCATCTCCTATGCGCCATCGACAAGTCGAATGCTCTTTTCATCCTTAGCCTAACAACTAACCTCTTTCCATGCCATCAGGTTATGCTTATCCATCTACTAGAATGTCTCTCCGGCGACTCGCTTGGGCGCTATGCCGCCAAACCGAAGCTCCGAGTTCAGCGTTTCGAGAACGCCAATCTCGCGCTAAACTTTATCAAATCCCGAGGAATTCAGATGACAAACATTGGTGCGGAAGATATTGTGGATGGAAATCGGAAGATTATTCTAGGTCTTATCTGGACTCTCATTCTGCGCTTCACCATCAATGACATCAACGAAGAGGGTATGACAGCCAAGGAGGGTCTGCTATTATGGTGTCAGCGCAAGACAGCGTGCTACGACGAGGTCGACGTCCGCGATTTCAGCGGCAGCTGGAATGACGGTCTGGCCTTCTGTGCCCTTCTCGATATCCACCGCCCCGATCTCATCGACTACGACGCCCTCGACAAGTCGGATCACCGCGGAAACATGCAGCTGGCTTTCGATATTGCTCATGCCGAGATCGGTATTCCCAAGCTGCTCGATGTTGAGGATGTGTGTGACGTTGCCAAGCCCGATGAACGTTCGTTGATGACTTACATCGCCTACTGGTTCCACGCCTTTTCGCAGATGGAGAAGGTCGAGAACGCCGGTCGCCGTGTCGAGAAGTTCTTCAACAACATGCAGGGTGCTTGGGAGATGCAGAGCGCTTATGAGCGTAGAATGGCCGCTCTGCTCAAGGCTATCCAGGAGCAGATCGTTTCTTGGCAAGGGGCAACTTTCGATGGTACCTATGCCGACGCTAAGGCGCAGGCGTTCCAGTTTGCATCATATAAGAAGGGCAAGAAGAGAGAGTGGGTAGCGGAAAAGAGCGATCTTGCAACGTTGCTCGGAAATATCAAGACAAAGCTGGCTACATATCGACTACGGCCGTATGAGCCACCAACACATTTAAAGATGGAGAGGTTGGATGAGGAATGGAACAACTTGTCTAAGGCGGAGATGAGCCGGGGACAGTTGATCAACGAGACCATTAGAGAGTATGTATCTGTTATTCCACTAAATATTTGCGCGGAAAGTTTGTTAGAACAGCTGCTAACACCCCTACAGCATTAAAGACGCCCTCCGAAAATCCTTCGCCGACAAAGCCAATGATTTCGCCCTTGCCCTCAACACCATGCAACTCGCCATCTCCGGGCTCGAAGGCGACGTAGAAGACCAGCTGCACCACGTCCGCAAGCTTTCCGAGAACCTGCCCCCACTAGACGCCTATCTCAAGACCATCGAGGCAGTCGACCTCAAGTGCCAGGAAGCCAACATCGAAGAAAACGACTTCACGACCTACAGCTACGACGAGCTCTGCTACGAGCTCTCACTCGTCAAGTCGTCCGTCTCCAAGAAGCTCGCCTTCCTCGAGAACCAGATGGTGGCCCGCAACATGACCAACCTGACGCCCATCCAGCTCGAGGAGTTCGAGTCCGTGTTCCGGCACTTTGACCGGGACGACACCAACTCGCTTTCGGAACTCGAATTCAGCGCCGCCCTGGCCTCCCTGGGGCTCGTCTTCTCCGAGGACGAAATGCACGAGTACTTCCTCGCGACCTCCAACGGCCGCGACCGCGTCACGTTTGAGCAGTTCATCCGCTTCATGGTGGACGTGACCGAGGACCAGAACACGGCCGAGCAAGTCTTCCAGTCCTTCCGGGAAGTCGCCGACGGCAAACCTTACGTGACCGAAATGGACCTCCGCCACTCCCTGGTGCCCGACGAGGTCATCGAGAAGCTCATCGAGATTATCCCGAAGCACACCGGCCCGGACATGCAGAGCGACCGCGGCATGGAGCAGTACGATTACATTGCCTTTATGGAGAAGTTGATATCCGAGCAGGAGGGCAACGCGTCAAGGCCGGGTAGCAGCAGGAGGAACAGTAAGGCTGCTAGCGGTGTAGCCACAGGCAGCGGTGCGGCTCCTGGGCAGATGCCAAATCACAGTAGGCATAATAGCCATGCTAGTGTCGGGGGGAAATCGGTGCTCAGCGGCGGCGGCGGCGGTGGGGGGGATAAGATTAATGGAGGGATTCATGGCAGTCCGGGTGGTGGGATGAAGTCGCCAAAATCGCCTGGGCATCAGCAGAAGCCAAATGGGTATCATTAGTAATGAACGTGATTGAATCCCTGTGCTCGGTTTTTCTCTCCCTTTCTTGTGTACGTAATTTTTTTGGGTGGTGTAGGCTATCATTTGTTTGGATCGGACGGACAGAGGGATGGATGATGGATGGATGATGATTGATGTGCTCAGGGAGGATAGGATAGGATACTTGGCAGAATGGGTGGAATGGGAGGAATAGGGGGCTGGATTGGATTAGTTGGGTTTTCTCTATCAACATTTCTTTCTCTTATTGTGTTTTAGATATAATTACATTACCACCTAGTGATAGTCTTTAACTCGAAGCAAGCTTATGTAACATGAGCATAGCAGTCGTATGATAAGATACTGGAATCGTATACTTCCAAACATGTGGTAGAAGATGTCCAGGTTCTGATCTGTTCGCCTTTTTCATTAAGTTCAGGTTTGTTATTAAATCTTTTGTTACGAACCACCGGATATTGACAATCCTCGCTCAGTACGGTATGGTAGTCAGGACACTGTAGATTGAGCAAGATATTTTGCAATAAGTGCTTTCTAATATCTTCGTCTTGAACCCTTCATGGCATGGTATGTGTGTCCCTACGAGAGACATATATAACTTCAAGGTCTGTAAGGAACGTGTGCCCATAACATATGTATGCCATTGTCCTCGTTATATTTTCCCATGTATATGTAAATCTCATCTCTAGTAATTACATTAACACTAATGTCCAAGGAAAAATCCAAAAAAAAATCCCAATAAAAAGACACTAGTAGTTGTGAAGTAGGTACACGCAGAAAAAAGGGATAAGTTAAGTAAGTATGTTTAAGCTGTTCCATTCAGCTTGAATGTTTTGAGATTCCCGCCCATATCCTCATATGAATTGGCGTTTGGGGGCGTGGTGAATGATGGGTGTGATGATGACATTCATGTTGTTGGATGGGGGATGCTGCGATGGTGTGTGTAGCTGCGGGTTCGCTCATGTCTTGTGGTGTTTGGATCTTCCGCTTCTTTCTTCCACTTCTTTCTCGTTTTCTTCTTCTTCGTAGATCATACGGGCCTTCTACTCCTTTCATGGAAGAAACCCGATGTTCTCTCTGTTGTCATCAATAACACGGCCGTATCTGTTGCACCACTGTTAGCAAACTCATTCATTTCCAAGCGCAAGGACAGAAAACACTTACTCCAAAAGTAACCTAAAGAACCACACCTCCATATCCTCATGTCTCAAAACCTTATTCGCCCACTCCCTGCCCTGGATCGCCACGCGCTCCGCCTCCTTCGTCCCCTGACTAACCGTCGCGCTCTCCTCGCTGAAGAACCGGACCGTCTCCAACCAGTCCTCGCCCTGCGTGCTCAGCGGGATGAAGTGCGCCCAGGGCTTCAGCCACTCGTAGTGCCACTCCCGGAAAATCGCCCACTTGTACACCAGACTCCTACTCTTGAGAAACGCATAGAACCGGCCCGAGAATGCGTTGCCGTCAATGTCCAACACGTGCTTGTACTTGAACGCGTCCCCCTGCTCGGCGTACGACTTCACCTCGAAGAACTCGCGCTGTGCATCGCAGTCACCCGGGTCGCACTGGCCGATGTGCGAGAAGAACACATTCACAATGTCGCGGTAGTCGGAGCGAGAGACCTCGCTGACTACCCAGTCCGGGTTCTGCTCGTTCTTGCCCTGGTTTACCAGAACCTTGGCGGTGTCACGCTCGTTGATCTTCTGTACGAAGCGCTGTCGGTGCTGACGGCGCCAGCCGCCGTTGCGCGAGAAGCCGCCTGTCGTGGAGCCGCGCCAGTACAGCTGGTTGGTCTTGTCGTCCCAGAGCGGGTCCTTGCTTTCTTCGTAGGGGACCTTTTCGTACCAATACCAGGGTGATGGGTAGAGGATGTCGGCGTACGAGGAGATCTTACTCTGCGAGAAGATGGGGAAGAGGTCGTGCACGACGTTGTAGGCGTTGGGCCGATCAAAGAAGCCGAAGGTGGTGGAGAGCGAAGGTGAGAGGCAGACGTCCGACATGGCGGTCCAGTTGTACACGAAACCGAGCTCGCCTAGGCCGAACTTGCTCACGTCGTCGAGACGCTGCGGCTTGTCGGCGCCTTCTTCGTCGATGAGTCGCGCAGGGCTGTCGGCGGGACAGCTCATGCGCGAGTGCGTCCACGTGGGCTGGTGGGCGAATACGTTGAAACGGGTGAATTTTTCCTCGGAGAAGCTGCCGGTGGGACTCAGTCCGCCGTCGGGATCGCGGGTGAAGTCATTTCGGTAAGCGGACCCCTTGTTCGCCGCGGGCATGTTGACGTTCTTCGCCCGCCCAATCAGCCGCGCCATGTCCTCAGCGGGGACCACCACACGCGGCTCGTCGTGGATGTTGAATGCCAGGTCCATGTCCGGTAGCCATTGCTTGAACTTCTTCATCATGCCCTTGGTCGCCTCGACCTGCCACTCCTGTCCGCCACGGACGTAGGCGATCTCGCCGTCACGGATCTGGAGGCCAATCAGGGCGTTTCCGTCGAATCCCAGGGCTTCCTTAGCACGCATGCGGACGGTTCTTGGTGAGAGGCCCCAAAAGGGGGTGATGAGTTCGTGGATCATGTCGAATTCGTCGACCAGCTGGACGTCATGTTCCTTGGCGAAAGCCCACCACTTATCAAAATTGGGCGGCGGGGGCAGGCCGTATCGTCGGCGGTACTCCTTGACAGCTTCCTTGAGGGTACGAGACTGGCGGGCCTTCATGGCTTCGAGGTCGCGCTCGGCGTCGATGGTAAGATGCCATATTGGGTGAGAGCCCTTCGGGGCTGGCTTGGGAGGTCGGACCGCGGCTGGTTTGGACTTGAAGTCGATGTTGTCGTGTGGGAGGTGGTGGGCGCCATTCTTGTAAGTGTCTTTCAACTTCTGCTGCCCTTGGCTTAGGCTCGAGGAGGAGGTGAAGAGCGAATAGATGCAGAAGAAGATAAAGACGGTTCCCACCAGGATCAATAGCTGGCGGGACCGCATCGTGTCTGTATTAAGTAGGGTAGGTAGGTCGGTCGGTTGTTACGCGGCGTAGCTTGCTCTTCCCATTGGGTATGGTCGTCCAACTTGGCTCAGTACTGCTGATGCTTTTGGTGTAGAGTTGGAGGTTCGAACTCCAACCTGGAGTGTAAGGAGGTTCGTATACGTTCGTTGTGCCTTCTTCGAATAAGCGGCGAGTCGGTCACGGAGAATTGGAACTAAGGTGTATGGTGGTGTTGAGCTGCCCAGTTGCCCACGGTTGGCATTGCCGCGGACGAACAATGATACGGCTTGGCTCTGTATGTTGGTAGACTCAGTCTCAAAGGTCAAGAAATTGGTTGGTTCAAAGAATACGAGAAGAGTGGCCTGGCACAGAAACTGGAAAGTGTTCTCCTCCAAGGATTGAACTGCACCTGAAGAGTGAAGATCCCCGAAAAAAGGGTTGTTACCTCATTTTGGGGTAGCCGAGCTGACACAAGGTACAGGTACCCCAAGATGGACATCTGAACGAGGTGGCGCACTTGATGCGGGCGTCAGGGGCCAAGGAGGGGCAGGCGGTGGGTTAGCCTTAACTACGGGTACCTGACGAGACTCGGGCGGTGTCTGGAATCGACAGGGATCTGCATCTCCAGGCCGGCGCAAGATCCACGGCTTCAGGGGCAGTGTTACGCGTCGTCTTGAAACAAACCGGGTTGAACATGAAGCGATTCCCATGTCAACGTGATGCGGCTGCTAAAAACATTTGGCGGTAAAACACTCTTCCCGACCTCGTGTTTTCTCCGGTGTGAAACGGTATGTGCTACGCCAAGGCTACACTTCTATCTCAACTCCATAACAACCGACAGTTCAAAGCTGGATTTAGACGACTCAACGCTCGACGTCTTCATACTCCGTTTCATCGAATCACGTTCACATGTTCTACAATACTCCAGCATAGTACATCATTCATATTAAGTCAGGTTGGGAAGAGATTTATGGAGGAACCAGCTTTTCATTTAATGGGGTGGATGCATGTTGCGATATTACTCGCAGACAGCAGATGGTGGTATCATCCTTCCATCGACTTCCCTCGACAACCCAAAGCATGCCTCGCTAGAGATCCTCCTCATTCCCGACTTTTAACGAGAAACATCCGCTTAGTAGAAGAAGCCGATGATCTTGCCGGAGACGTGCTTGCGGCGGGCCTCCTCCTGGTCCATGATACCAGCAGAGGTGGTGAGGATGACGTAGCCGAACTGACGGGCAGGAAGGAGCTTGACAACCCACTTCTCGAGCTCAGCGAGGCGGACGTTGTAGCGGGGAGAGATGACACCGCACTTGTTGAGGCGGCCGTTGAGCTGGACAACGATCTTGCCGGAGCGGTGGTCATCGACCTCCTCGAACTCGCCGATGTAGCCTGAAGGACAGAAATATGTCAGTAAGAATGTCGCGACAGTTTAAACATTAGATATCATTGGTGACTCCAGTAACGTGTAAGACTCTCGCAGTTGATTTATCGGCGACTTAAAGGGCTAAGATCGTGGAGCGTTATGAGACCTCGGCCTAGTTATCACGCCGAAGGGTTTGTGTTCGATAAGGGAATGGTTCGGTGGGGAGTTGGGTTGCGAGAGTCTTTCACGGTTCATTTTTGTCGTCTTCCAATGATATCTGGTGGGTGGTTTGCGATGCGAACGTACCGTGCTTCTGCATGACCTGGAGGAACTTGACGATGACCTTGGAAGAAGGACGGATCATGACCTGGCGCTTGCCGGCCTTCTCGGCGTTGTTGATGCTGTTGAGGGCATCGTGGAGAACGGAAGTGCGGACCATCTTGACGGTTTTTTCGAGGAGATTCTCAAATCGGGAATGGGATCAGAGGTATCTGCCAGATTCCGCATGTTAGCCTTCGAGGCCCCGTGAGCATGGAGAGTGCCCTCTGGAGCAACGCAGTGAAGGTGTCCAAGGGTTCTGCCCGCTCAGTTGCCGACGAGGAGAAGCGTATCAGTGGTCGTCGCCTGTTACCAGCGCGGTCTGATTGCTTTCCTGGGCCTTTGCGAAGGGCATTATCCAGTTGTTGAGGACATTCTCCGGAGTCGTGGTTCTTGCCGTCGTCGCAATGCGACTAGGACGGTACTGTTTTGTTTCACATACCTCGTTGATGGGCTTGATGCTGAGAGGACGGACAAGCTAGCAGGATGGGAGGGGAAAAGGCGTTGAGGTCGCGATGGTCTTTTGTTAAAAATTTCGAGCAGGCGGGTGGATTCTGTGCTGGTGGTCTGTGCTTTGCCATGCAAAAACTGCCCCGTGCAATTGCCCTAACGGTCGGTAGCTGGCCTACTCTTGGCGCTCGCCGGGCCGGCAGAGGTGCCCTTCGGGCGCATTCACACAAAATTTCGGATATTTGGCGGAGAGGTTTGCGCTGGCGGGCAGCCAAATGTGGGGAGGTGGTCGGTGCGCGCACATAATTTCTGTCCAGAGCTTTTTGCTTTTCGCGGAAGACGAGACTCGCAGGACCCTCTCGCTCCCCTCGACCACCACCCATTGAAATACTTTCTCCATCAACTCTTCGAGGATCGTATCCGACAACAACCCCAAGCAAATCGCCAAGATGGTGAGACACCCGTCCCGTCCCCTACGTGCCGGCTGAAAGTGTCGCCATCGCGAGCGTCGATTCGATATCCCTAGAACCGATTACGTCTCGAAAGAAGCATGATGACGAACTAGGCATACTCGACATCGACGGCGCCGATGCCCCTCGACACCTTCAGTCCGACACGACAACCGATTACAATGAGGAAGCAAAAGAGCACTCCAGCTAACATGGTCTTTTTGTGGAATTGTAGTCGGACGTAGAAGAGAACACTGTCCCCCAGACCTCCGAGGAGGTTGAGGTTTCCGCCGATGCTGCCCCCAAGGGCCAGATGAGCGTCCTTGATGCCCTCAAGGGTGTTCTCAAGATCTCCCTCATGCACGACGGTCTTGCCCGTGGTCTCCGTGAGGCTTCCAAGGCCCTCGACCGCCGTGAGGCCCATATGTGCGTCCTCAACGAGTCCTGCGAGGAGGAGGCCTACAAGAAGCTCGTCATTGCTCTCTGCTCCGAGCACAAGATCCCCCTCATCAAGGTCCCCGATGGCAAGCAGCTCGGCGAGTGGGCTGGTCTCTGTGAGTATACCTGCTATCATAATAACGGACTTTGCGACTGTTTTGCTGACTATAAAACTAGGCGTCCTTGACCGTGAGGGTAACGCCCGCAAGGTCGTCAACTGCTCTTGCGTCGTTGTTAAGAACTGGGGTGAGATGTCTTCCGAGCGTGAGGTAAGAATAACTCCTGAGTCTACTTCTGGACCATAGTTGCTAACGAACGGCCCTTTAGATCCTCCTCAACTACTTCCAGACCGAGCAGTAAATTGGCAATTCGCATCTTGGCGAGGCGGAATACCTAGGGATGGACAGGCGGCAGACGCGTCCCGGGCACCAGCTCTAAAAGGCCAGGTGTTTTGTTGGACGTACGCTTGGGTAGACCTTACCGACTGGCGAAAATGCTTAGAGCAGGCCTTAACTGGCTTCCCTGAAAGGGGCAATAAACAACGTAAAAGGTCCAAAACCCAATCGCTGACTCTCCCCATGGTCCTTTGTGAAATTGTGCTGCCCTGTGTGAACTTCTGCGGCCCGACCGGTCATGCCAATATTAAAGGCCATGTTACGAACCAAGGATGTGTCCTACAAATAGGAATTGGAAGGGCACAAACATCCAAAACGCCGTAGTATGCATATTGATAGTAGCATCATTTCTTACCCTCTACCATGATGATGTGGTAGCCAAAGGGCGTCTTGGCCTCACCAATCTGGGGCTTTCCGGTAGTGCTCGTCTCCAAAGCAAACGCGACCCTTTCGAACTCGGGGTCCAAAGTACCCTTTTGCTTCCAACCCAAACTTCCGCCTACAAAGATTTATGTAAGTGAGCGACCTTATCCGGAGAGAAATATGAACCAAAAAAGAAAGGTTGAAGACACAAAGACTTTAAAATCACGATGAAGACTTACCAGTCCTAGCCTTATCCTCACTATACTCCCTGGCAACAGCACCGAAATCCGCTCCGTCACGGATCTTGGCCAGGGCTTCCTCCTTCTTGCCATGTTTCTCGCACTTTGATATCGTCATTGTTAGCTGCCACTGATCACCAAAATGAGGTAGAGCCATCAATTGGTAATTCACTCACCAGAATATGCCGAACATTAATCGACTGAGCGCCCTTGGCGGCCTTGCCAGAGTCCTTGCCTCCAGCGTCCTTGCCCGCGTCCTTTCCGCCGCCGCCCTTGCTGCCGGAGCCGGATGCTTTCTTATCTTTGCCCATTTTGGCTTCTTAGAGATACGAAGGCTGTGGAGGAAAAGGGGGCGGATAAAGTGTTGCTGAGTGAGGTGAGGTGAGTGACTGAGGTGATGTTGATGTTGAGTGTGCGATGATGAAAAAGTGGGGGAGGGAAGCTCAAGCTGCTTTGGTGGTGCCCTTGGCATTTGGAGAAGGAGGGACAGAGATATAGAACCCTAACCCTGGTCACAGGGGGATGTTACCCCTTTTTCAGCGTCGCTTCGTTTTGGTCAATGAGGAGGGACACTACGGGATTGAAAAGGAAGAACGGGCTCGGCAATGGCTGCATTTTCTTTTGTTGAAATAAAATTCACTGTCTCTTCTTATTTGTCAGTCGTTTTCCAGCGAATTTGTCTGGAGAAGACGCAGGAACTCGAGCAGAGGGGGAAATAAACGGAAGAAAGAAGTTGGAAGGAGCTGACGGTAATGAGGATACATGGATGCGTGCAAGAACACTCCAAAGGTGTGAAGTACTTTCTCGTGATGTGTTAATTTCTTTGCCCACATGCTTGCCCTGGTTATAAAACTGAAGGAAGTGGTGACCGGCCAAGGCCAAGGTCGTGTCTCTCCTTCTAAATATGATGTGACAAAATGATGCCATGACGGTCAAGCGACTTCCACATTTCCCTGCAGAGTGGAGTTGAACGAAGGCCATATCATCATAACAGTCGTGTTCTCTCTTCCCGGCGCCGGAAGGGAGTATCTAACAGATGTTGCTAATCCAGTATTTATTCTCTACCTCCCCATGTTGCATTTCCTCTTCTTCCTCTTCTTGTTTTTGCCACAGCGTTTCACACTTCATCCACTACGCATATTTCACCACTTACTCCCAGCTCGCGACTTATTTTGCTTTATCGCTGCCTATCTTCTAGCAATCTTGGAGTCGTCTTCTCGGTCTTACCACACCTACTTCCTCTGTCCAAGTACCAACTCCAACGTTGTCACGATGCCAAAAGCTGGAAAGGAGAAGCGCAATGCGTACGAGGAATCAACAAAGGTAAGGAATTCCGAGGCGTGGGAAGAGAAAGGAGCAGCTGAAGCAGCTTTCCGAGCAAAACGAGCAGCTCCCCAAAAGCAAGTTCACACCCCACCAACGTCAAATACAACATCCTCGGATGACGAAAGCCTGACGACGACGACGACAAACACCGTTGGGAAAGACACGGAGATGCACATGCAGCGGTACCATAACAGCTCCACGGACGTGGAGAAAAACCAAGCTCTGTCCTACATCATGTATCCTGCCGGGGACAAGCTACTTCTTGGCGGCACCGACCCTTTCAAGTCTGCCGACTGTGTACTCCGACGTATCATTCAAGCTGCCCACGCTATATTGAAGGATATGCATACATCATCTACCAACAAGGAGAAGAAGACAGCCCGCGGTTCGAAGCGGCGGTTCCAGTCCAGGACCGAAGGAAGCGTGCTGCCTTCCTCTGCCCACATCGACTCCAAAGTGGTTGCCCAGGGTGCTTCTTCCGATGTGCCAATCCACTCCAAACGCAGTTGACAGAGCTTCTCCGGATGCCCCACCCTCCATTATCTGAGCCAATACCAAAAATGGAACCGCGAGACCTCCGTGTGGCGAACGTGGTATGAAGGGCTCACCACGGCATTATGGGCCGATTACACGACGGGCCTTGATTCTGGCAATGACGACCATGCTTCAAGAGCGGTTGATGCAAGCTTGGACAAGTTGCCGCAAGAAGTGGTGGAGACGCTGAGGAGCGAGGGTGTCTTCGTCCCGGGGCGGCACGATCCGAAACAGTTGTTGAAAGACATGGACAAGTTCTCCGGTCTGTGGATCTGAGTTGAACTTTGGGTGTCATGCACGTTTGCAGTTTCATTTTGTAAGCTCCTGAGTGGTGATGCCAGGGCATGATTGGGTTGACATGGTTTTTTTTTGGTTTTTTTTCACTGCAAGAAACGGTTTGCTTGGGTTTTTTGTCTACCGGAGAGGATCTTGTTTTTTTGTCTTCCTTTGCTTTGGCTTTGTGGTTCAACTCGGGAGTACCTCTCACAGTGGATATCTGGTATTGGGAACATGAACGAACGGTGTGGTGGATTTCTACAAGTATGCCCATCTCCAAATCAAAAACTGCAGGTCGATGATGGAAGACACCTGAAGAGGAGTTTAAAGTAACCATTACAGCGAAATAGCGATCATTTGTCTGCTTTGTAATTGTTTGTGTTCTGCAACACCCAGTCCTGGCAGAATTTCCTTTACATTATGAATTAGTTACAGATAGGCAAATGTTGAGCGTCTCATCATCATCATGGTCATTATCAACATCCAACTGAAATTGATCGTACCATCCACCAATCAATAATCATGATTCGTCGGTCCGTCGTCTTCTTCTTCTTCTTCTTCTTCTTCATCATCATTATCATCACCGCCGTCAGAACATAAAACCAATGCTTCAACCTCCACAAACCGCATATTACCTCTGACGCGTTCTCACCTCACATACCCCCTAGGAAACAAGCCAACCTCACCCATATACCACCCAACACCCCACTCCTCATTCAACACTTCCACCTCGGTGATCTCGGCCCCCTTGGGAAAAATCAACTCGTTCTTGGCTTCCAGGCTCGATCGGTACCAGCTGAATCTCGCAGTGACTTTTGTTCCCGTGCCGCCGTCGGGCGGGAAGGCGTCGGTCGTGAATCTACCGCCGACGACGCCGGGAGGTGATCTGCCGCTGCTTGGGGAAAGGGAAGTAGGCGACGTCGGCGACGAAATAGGTGACAACGGCTCGTCGGGGGAATGACCGGGCGGTACGGCGGGGTGGGAGACGTCCATTGATACCAATCTCTGCAGCCACTTTTCTTTTTGCGTCTCTTTTTCTTTTTCTTTTTCTTTGTGGTCCGAGTCCGAGTTCGAGTCCTTTCCATCTTGGCCTTGCCCCGTCCCAGCACCTGTACCCGAAGAGGTAGAGGTAGAGTTATGAGAGACATCAGACCCAGGCGAAGGTAATGGCACCGAAGAGTCCGTGGTATTCCCCTTCCAACTCCAAATCTGCATCCCCCTAACCCCTCCCAGCAGAAAACTTTCCACTTTCAATCTATGCCCCCCCACAATCTCGTTGATAACCGTCCTTCTCTCCACCCCCGTTCTTTCATCGACCAAAAAAGAAACGATAGTCATCCTGTGCCCAGATTGTGGACAGCGTCGCCACCCCGCCGGACCATTTTCTTCAGCGACAGAGTCCGGGACCAGCGAGTGGTAGCACGCGGTGCAGATGTTGTATTCTCCTACTCTTGGAATTGGCGAGGGGGCGTGTTTTGAGGGACAGGATGGGCAGTGGAAGCGCGGGGAGGAAGGGGGGATGGG